CCTGCATTGCTTGTGGTCCTTTCTTTCCTTGTCTTTTCATACTGCTTGTGTTTCTTTTCTGCAGGCGCGGGCAGCGGCTCTGCTCTCTCCTTATTCCAATTGGGGTGTCGTGACTACCACGCCGGCAGGTCACTGGGCCTGTTCTGGGCGCTGGAGGCGGCTCTGTTCTGCCCCTACTCCAATTGGGGTGACGAGTGTACCACGCCGGCAGGCCACCGGGCCTGATCCGCCGGTCAATTGCAGGTTTGCCTACACTGCAGGCGCGGGCGGCGGGTCTGCTCTGCCCCTACTCCAAATGGGGTGACGTGTCTGTCGTACCGGTAGGCCACTGGGCCTGTCCCGATGGTCGGTCGCAGATGTGCCCACCTTTCGGGCACGGGTGGTGGCTCTGCTCTGCCCCTACTCCAATTGGGATGTCGTGACTACCCCGCCAGCAGGTCGCTGGGCCTGTTCCTGGCACGGGCGGTGACTCTTCTCTGCCCCTACTCCAATTAGGGTGATGTGTGTACCATGCCGGCAGGCTCCTGGGCCTGATCCGCCGGTCTGTCGCAGGTCTGCCTACCTTGCAGGCGCGGGCGGCGGCTCTGCCCTGCCCCTCCTGTCACGCCTGCGGACCGCTGGGCCTGATCTGCAGGTTGGTCACAGGTCTGCTCACCCTGCGGGCACGGGTGGCGGTTCCGCTCCGCCCCCACTCCAATTGGGTTCACGTGACCACCACACCGGCAGGGCCTGATCCGGGCGTGGGCGAAGGATCTGCTCTGCCCCTACTCCAGCTGGCAGGCCGCTGGGCCTGACCCGCCAGTTTGTCAAAGGTCTGCTTACCCTGCAAGCGCGGGCGGCGGCTCTGCCCTGCCCCTCCTACCACGCCCGTGTACCACTGTGTCGCGGGTCTGCCCACCTTGCGGGCGCGGGTGGCGGCTCCGCTCCGCCCCCTCTCCAATTGGGGTCACGCGGTCACCACGCCGGCGAGCCGCTGGGCCTGCTCCAGGCGCTGGCGGCGGCCCGGCTCCTCCCCTCTGGCTTGACGACAAATTGAGAGAGACTCAGGTGTCTGTGCCTCACCCCCCCTACCAGGAGACCAACTGTTTCTGTCTCCGCTGGTATTGATGAAGTTCTCTCCTCCGCCGCTTTCTGATGACATCAGATCTCTGCCATGTTGGTATCCTATGCGAATGGCAGCATTTCGTTCCCCTTGCCGGGCAACCAAAGCAACGGGTGAGTCCTGACCGGCCCTCAGCAGGACCCGGACCGAGAAGCAGTTTCTGCGGGCTCCTAGCCCTGGGCCAGGGCAGTTCCGGGAGGCGGAACTCGGCCGCTCCGTGCTCGGTGTATGCTCCGATAAGAGCAGGCTCCAAGAAGCAGCCCCCGCGGGCTCAGTTCCGGGAGCTGGAACTCGGCCGCTGCGTGCTCGGTGTATGCTCTGATAAGAGCAGGCTCCTAGAAGCTGTTTCCGCTGGCTCCTTAGCCCAGGGCCAGGGCAGTTCTGATGGCTGGAACTCGGCCGCTCCGTGCTCGGTGTATGCTCTGATAAGAGCAGGCTCCAAGAAGCAGCCTCCACAGGCTCCCCAGCCCTGGGCCAGGGCGGTTCCGGGAGCCGGAACTTGCCCGCCCCTCGCTCAGTGCTCGCTCCGCTAAGAGCAGGCTCTAAGAAGCACCCAGGCACTGAGCCCGAGCAATCTGTCCACAAGCCGTAGCGAATGGCAGCCTGAAATTACCTGTTCTATGGCTGAATGAGCTGCGGTCAGTCGAAAAGAGGGATGGTGACGTCAGCTTTCCAACATGGTGGCCGCTGGCCTCCTCTGTGGTCTGACCGGTGTGGAGAACCGAGATGGACCGCTTCCTTCCCCCGTCTCGAACCCAGAATTCAGCCCTGAGTACGGTGCTTGCACGGCTGGCAGAAACTGCAGCTCTGTATCCCTGCGTCGCTATCTCCTCGTTTCCCTGTGCGTGCTGCAGACTCTAGCCGCGGGGCGATTTGCTGAATAAGCAGTGTTACCCTCCGTGAGACAAACCTCTCGCGTTTGAGTCCCCGTAGCCGATCCTCGTGCGATGGAAATCCTTCCTCCAGGTTCCGGAGCACCCCACTATTGCTGAAAATTCCTAACAAGATAGCCTTTAGCCGTCCTGACTTGTCATACTCCCACACAGTGAAGCAGCACTCGGGGGCAATGCACTCCCCTCGCCGCCATCTTCCTAATCCCTAGATTTATTTCTTTAAATTGGTAGAGCACACCCTGGTAGCTTCCTGAAAGAGTCTCTGATTGAGGTACATTTTATTTAGAGTTTGCATTCTACCATTGTATTTAATCAGCACTCTGGAAACATAATTCTAAGTTGAAAATTTTAATTTCTTTGCCTCAGAGTTTTGAAAACATTACCCAATTATCTTCTAAATTTCTTTGTTGCCACTAAAAACTCAGTGTCTTCTGATTTTTTAATCATTTGGAGGTAATTATTTGGACTTTTCAAAATTTAAGATCTTTTCTCTAGTATTTTAAATTTTAAAAAGAGAAGGGAGCACATATAGTATAATTTAAGTACAGAAAAATGTATTTAATCTTCTAGAATGAGGACATGAAAGAATGATTATAAATTTGACCTAGCAGTGTGCTTTATACTGCAGTATTTTTGGAACGAAAGGTTTTCCTATTAATTTTTGGCATGAACTCAATTTTTTATTAAATTAAATAGGAGAATCAAGATGTAGTTAGAAACTTTCTGGGTTTACCTTACCAGATATGTAGCCAAATTTTGCTCACTAGATAAGTAGCTGTGGACTTTGTCAATGAAGGTAAAAGGGTATTTGCTATCTTTGTTCTCTTATTACTCCCTGTACACAGTTTATAATTGTCAGATCAGGAAAAATAGTATATCCATGACTTTAAACTTATCATTTCTTTGTGTTGGGCATGTTCAAAATCGTCTTTACTAGCTGTTTTGATATACATCTTTGTTAACCATAGTTATCCTACAGTGCTATAGAACACTAATTATTTCTCCTGTCCAGTTGCACCCAAGTACCTATTAAATGTCCTCATTCCATCTCCCTTCCCCATCTTCTCCCCAGCCTCTGCTAACCACCATCCTACTCTGTACTCCTATGAATTTGACTTTCTGGATTCTCCATGTTGTTACAGATGACAGGGTTTGTCATTTTCCTTCTTTTTATGGCTCAGTAGTGTTCCTATGTGACTACATAGCACATTTTTTTTTTCTTTTAATTTCATCCTCTGTTGACATACTCTTAGGTTGATTCAATATTTTGGCTATTGCAAATAATGCAGTGATAAAGGTGGCAGTGCAGATGTCTCTTCAAAATACTGATTTCCTTTCCTTTAGATACATACACAGTGGTGGAATTGCTAAATCATAGGGTAGTTCTATTTTAACTTTTTGACAAACTTCAATACTGCTTTCCATAATGACTAAATAATTTACAACCTTACCAACAGTATTTGAGAGAACCTCTTTTGCTACATCCTTGTGAACATTTGTTATTCTTTTGTCTTTTTTTATAGTACTCAGGCTAACTGAGGTGAGATGGTACCTTATTTTGATTTTGATTTGCATTTCCCTAATGATTGGTGATGTTGAACAGTTCCCCCCACCCCCATATACCTGTTGACAATTTATTTGTTTTAAGAAATGTCTATGCAGGTCTTTTGCCCATTTTTTAATTGGTTCATTTGTGTTCTTGCTGTGAAGTTGAGTTCCTTATGTATTTTTAGATATTAACCTTTTGTCATACATATAGTTTGCAAATGTTTCCTCACATTCTGTAAGTTATTTCATCACTGATTTGGTTGTTTGCTCTTCTGTGTAGAAGCTTTTCAGTTTGATGTAATCCTATTTGTCTGCTTTTGCCTTTGTTGTCTGTACTTTTAAGATTTATTAAACAAACAAACATACAAAAAAACAAACTATTTGCCCAGCCCAATGTCATGAAGGTTTTCCTGTTTTTGTCTCGTAGTTTGAAAGGTTTGAATCTTACATTTAATTCTTTAAATCCATTTTGAATTGATTGTTGTGTATGGTGAGAAATAGGAGCCTAATTTTATTCTTTTTTTTCTGTGAATATTTAGTCAATTCTTGTTCTTTTGCATCATTTTTATGAAAGTCAACACTTTATTATTATCTGATTTTATAAGAGTTTAAAGAGGATGTACTTATAATAAACCGATAAATCCAGTTGTTCATTCTACTTGAACTTTTTCATTTTTCCTTCTTATTTTAAGATTTTTACTATCTTATATGTTCTTAAAATCCTGTAGGATTTTGTGTGTCCTTTAGATAGATATATACTCTCCTTTGCAGAAGTTATACTTTAAGCAACTTGCATAGCGAATTAGGGCTACTGAGAATTCCTTGGCTAAATAAATTGCTCATTTTTAGCCAGATTAGTCACTTATATCTAGTTCCTTTCAGTTTTCTCAGATGAGATGAATAGAAAACTTTCCTTTTTTGAAGGAAAGTTAAAAGACTCATTTTCTTTTCAGTTTTAAAAAATTAGTTTGCCAACAACTGTCTGTATGAAGAATACAGTAGGAAAGATCTTGCCATTTACATCACTTTTTTCATCTGGTCCAACTTTCCACGGAAAGAAAATATTTTGGTGTTCAATCTAAGTAGATATTTCATCAAAGCTGACTTTCAGCTAAATTTAAAGAGTAGGTCCAAAACAGCTTCGTGTTTTTAAATAATCAAACTCCTAATGCCTATGCTGTCTAACACAAATAGTTTTACCTCTGTGTTTCAGAGAGCAAGTCTATCCTGTCTTACTTAACTCACTTGACCCTTTGCTCTTAATATTAAATTTCTTCAACCTCCTTTGCTTCTTTTCTTCCCTCTTTAAATTCTTTGCTCTGTGAAAATATCTTTCTGGCCTGGATTTAATTCCAAAGGGAAGAACATTTAAAGAACAAATAGCCCTTCCTTGACAAATGGGCTCTCCTTAGGTTAACTGATTAATTTACTTCACCTAGTCTTCCATCATTTTCCAGGACAGTCTCCGTAAGAAGGATGACAGGATTGAAGAGCTGGAAGAAGCACTGAGAGAAAGTGTACAGATAACTGCAGAGCGGGAAATGGTGCTGGCACAAGAGGAATCAGCCAGGACCAATGCTGAGAAACAGGTCTGCAATTTTATACAGTTACTAGCAATGCTGCTGGTTAAACACAAGGTAAAACCCAACCAGTGTAGTTTAGATAAACCTAAATATTATATCTTCAAAAACTCTTCATCAAGTGTAAGTATTTAGACAAAAATCATAAATGAAATATGGCTATGCATATTAATTCTTTAACTCATGTTAATACAGACATATCTGCTCCAATAATTTTAGGATTCATTAACATAGTATAAGCGAATATATCTGGTGAGATGAAATGGAACTTGTCTCTGCTATAAGACTAGACACAACCTGGCTTTTAAATGGAATGAGAAAACACAAGTGTTTCTGACTCAAAGATGTTAATAGCAAATAGTTTATTTTAAACCTTGCTGTGTTCAAAAGAGGAAGTAAGATCTTAACAAGGGCTGTGGTTGTGGCTCAGTGGTAAAGCACTTGCCTAGTGCTTATGAGGCACTGGGTTTGATCCTCAGCTCCACATAACAAATAAAATAAATGTATTGTGTCCATTTACAACTAAAAATATATTTTTAAAAAATATTATAACAAATTAATGTTGGTAGAAAATATGCAAGACATAGATATTGTGGTCCTCAAGTCCCATATCAGCAAGCATGTCTAAACCTTGAGAGGACTTGAAGAATTCTTCTGTTGCTGTTTGTGGCATTTGTTTTGTATATTTTCTACTTTTTTCTTTTAGACCCCTGAACCTTTGCTTTTGACTTTTTATTGGAAACAATTACTAATGATTGGAGGCATGAGTGAAAGAAAGAGTTTTAACAATTAAGATTGTAATCTCAGTTTCCATTCTGAGACTATGATTTGTGGTTTTGAATCTTTTTTGAATCTACCTCACATAGAGATTGATGACATTTCGTTTTTGTACTAATTGTTTTCTTTCTATTTCCTTGTGAAAGAACAAATGTCATTCAGTTAAAAAGAGTTGAACTAGAGGATGACAGGATCTGTTGGGGAACCCCTTCCATCAGACCAGTGTTGTTATGGAGTTAAGGTAGTTGGGTAGTAAAGAAGGGTTTGTTGCAAGGCAGACATAGTGTAGTGTGTATCCCATGGGGTCCTTTCATAGCCATGTTAGGTGCAAGGATATGGCTTCTTCAGTTCCAAATGTAAAACAAAAGACCAGCTGATATTTCTTAACAAAGATGAGGGAAAATTGATCTTTTTGCGGAATGAGTATCTTTCGGTGCCCTTTCCTAGATAAATATCTTGGAACACTTTCATAATGTACAAATAAATCTTGAGTAGTGGAAGGCTTCAGAGATAGGATGACCACAGCCATTGTCCATTGTCCAGGGTGTTAGGGATTTTGATTTTACTCTTTTTGTATTTTCTTCTTTATTTTTAACTCCTGTCCTGCAACATACACATGTTTTCTATAAAAATTTCCTTCTGTTCTGGTCTTGGTGTTTAGTTACAAGTCATAAACATCAGAGATTGTGTGGAAGTTTTGGCAACTGACAATAGATTTTATCATTATTATACATCAACTTTTGTGTTTTTCTTTTTAAAATATTATGTGAGCTGATTATAATGTGCGTTCTTGAAGTATGTTTTATTAACTTTATCCTTAAAGCAGTTTTTAAATCTGCAGAAAAATTGCACAGTAAATACTTTTCACTTAATTTTTTCTCCACCTGTTATTAATGTCTTGCCTTAGTGTGATACTTGTGGTAAAATCAATGAACTAGTATTGATACAGTATTATTAATTAGTTCACAGTCTACATTGATTCACCCTTTATGATATGCAGTTCCATGGATTTTTCCAAATGTATAAGGCCATGTATCTTTTATTATAGTATTGCACAGTGTCTTCACTGCCCTAAAAATCTCCTGTGCTGTACTTTTTCATTCTTCCGCCATCTTTTTACTCTCTCCACAGTTTTGCCATTTTCTTTACTGGTAATTGGAACCATATAGCATACTGCCTTTTCACATTAGCTTCTTTCACTTAGCCTTTGCATTTAAGGTTCCTCCCCATCTTTTCATGACTTAATAACTCATTTCATCTCTGAATTATAGTCTATTGTATTGGGTTTTCCAGTTTGTTCACCCCTTCACCTATTGAAGAACATCTCATTTGTTCCAACTTTTCACAATTATGGATAAACCCACTGCAAACTTCATGTGCAGGTGTTTGTGAGGACATGAACTTTCAGCTTATCTGGGTAAATATCTAAGAGTATGGTTTCTGCATTGCACGGTAAAGTCATAAGGTAAGATAGTTAGCTTTGTAAGAAACTGCCAAACTATCTTCCAAAGTGGCTATATAAAATTTGCCTTTATGCTTTTTTCCTTCTCTTTCCTGTTCATCTTGTTTTCCACCATTCTGCTACTTACTGCCTATCTGAAGCTGTTGAGTGAAATATTGCATGAGACCAGTCATTTGGGCTTTAAGTGGTTCAAGGTATGAAGAAATTGCTTGTATGTTTGTTCTAATGAAGCCTTAAAACTTTCACCCACTGTTCCCTCCTCCCCATCTTCTGTTCTTATTCTTATCCTTTTCTGTCTTCTAACTGCACTGTTAATTTTACTTACCTGTGTTAATTGTGTGCACTATTACCTATAGATAATTTTTTTAAACGCTTTAAATGGATGAAGTTTTTTGGCTAAAGACATTATTCTGATTATCTTTCTTAGGTCATAAAACTATTTCTTAAATTAAGCCTCCTGAGATGAAATGAATCCCACTAATAGAAACAGGATATCTTCATCTCTTGATTCCTAAAAGTAAAATTTAATGGGAACCATGGCTCATGTTAAAAAAGACATAGAGCTGGCCTATTGCCACACACCTTTAATCCCAGTTACTCAAGTAGGTTGAGGCAGGAGGATTGCAAGGTTGAGGCCAGCCAGGGCAATTTAATGAGATCCTCTCTCTAAATAAAATAAAAAATGGGATGGAGCTTGTGTTCGGTGCCAGAGTTCTTATCTAGCACCTGCGAGTCCCTGGGTTCAATCTCTAGTACCTCAAAATAATATAATAAAAAAGAAAACTGTCTCAAGTTTGAAGAGGGAAAAAAATCCCAAAAAGAAGCTTTTTTTTTTTTTAAACGATTTTCCTATATTCTTACAGAATCTCCATGCATTTATTATTATTATTATTATTATTATTATTATTATTATTCATAATGCACTTATACATTGCTTAACCTAGGGAATGTGTTCTGCGTTCTGAGAAATGTATCATTAGGCAATTTCATCATTGTGTCGACATCATAGATTGTACTTACACAGACCTAAATGGTGTAGGTCAGTCACTTGCTGTCCTCTCTTGATATATTCAAGAGATGGGTTAAGCATGGGCTGTGTGAGTCTGCTGCCCACATAACATGGCATAATGCTTTTCAGCAAACTTTCTTTAATAAGTAGGAGTAAACTTTAAACAACAACAAAAATTACACTATAGCAAAAAAAAAAACAGTAATATGATCCTTTATTATCGTATCAGATATCACATACTGTACATAATTGTGTTGCTATGCTTTTATGTGACAGAAATACAGTAGATTTATACCAGCATTATCATAAACATGTAAGTATGCCTTGCAGTGTTTTTCAGCTTATTGTAATCATAGTTTATAAGTGGTTTGTTCTTGAATGAGGCACCATTATGCCAAAATTTAAAATTCCAAATGCCAGAAATTCAAAGACATTGTGTAGTAAAAGTAGATGCCCACCTACCAGTGGTGGCAAATTGAAAGATTTAAGTAAAAAAACCCAGGAGAAAACCTAAGGACTCTTTTCTTTTGTTTTATCCTTTTCCACATCTGCTCAACTTTGGTGAGTTTTGTGTTTTGTTGAATGTGAGATTCTGTTTACTTAAAATTAGGACAAACAGGTTCTAAAGAAGTCTCAGAATGGCCAGGAATGAATATCCTGTAATATCCTTAGTTCAGCCATGTTTGGGTGAACTTAAAAAATTTTTAAGTATTTTCAGTGATATTCTTTGTGGTTAAATGTATTTTTTTGTTATCTAAGAGTTTTCAAAAATGCCAGTAAAGTAAGAAGACTTTTTTTTATAGTTCATTAAACTGGTTTTATGAACTATTTTATTCTTATCCAGTAACCTAAAGGTATATTCTATCAAAATAACTGACATTTACACATAAGTTCTGATTTTTGTTTTAAAACTCAATTTTTAATAGCGATACTCATTTTTTCAAGTGGTCTTTTGGAAGAAGGAGGCCTGGGTATTAAACCTGGGACCTCATATATGGTAGGCAAGAACTCTTATCCCTGAGTTACATCTGCCCCAGCCCTTTGTATTTAATTTTTTAAAAAATATTTTTTTAGTTGTTGATAGACCTTTATTTTATTTATTTGTATAGGGTGCTGAGAATCAAACCCAGTACCTCACACATGCCAGACTTGTGAACTACCTCTGAGACCCAGCCCCTACATTTAATTTTGAAACAATCTCTCACTAATCTGCTCAGACTGCTATTCTCCTGCCGTAGCTTCCCAAGCAGTTGGGATTACAGGTGGGCACCACCACCCAGCTTCAAATGGACATTTTGACATTGTTTGTAATTTTACGATTAGTATAAATTCTTCACTTTCAAAATCATAAGATATTATCTGTTAAGTATAAATTTTTGACCTTCAAGAACTTACAATTTTCTCTATGGTTTACTAGATAGATAATTACAGTCTGCCCTCTATCTCTGTGAGCTTCATATCTGCAGCTTCAACAAATTGTGGTTTGAAAATACTTTTTTTAAAAACGTGTCAGTATCAAACATGTATACTCTTTTCAGTTTTCCCAAAACAACACAGTATAACAATTGTTTATATGGCAGGTGTGACTTGGGTATTGTAATTAATGTAGAGAAGATTTAAAGTACACAGGGGGATGTGAGTAGGTCATATGCAGACACCCATGTTATAGAAGGGACTTGACCAGCCACAGATTTTGGTGTTCACAGGGATCCTGAAACCACTCCCTATGGATAGTTTTCTATTTGGTATAAATTGATTAGA